TTTGTCGTTCTCTGCCCTGTCAATGTCCTCACCTGTCCAATATGTATTCTCAATTTCACGTGATCTGTCATTAAGTTGCGGTAATGCTCCTTTAATTCCCCTTTATCTCTCCTTTAATTCCCCTTTATCTCTCCTATATCTCTCCTTTATCTCTCCTGTAATTCTCCTTTATCTCTCCTATAATCTGGCTCCTTCAATTCTCCTTTAATTCTCCTTTATCTCTCCTTTATCTCTCCTTTATCTCTCCTTTATCTCTCCTTTATCCCTACTCCTCCTTTTTTTGTATATTACTTATGTGACACCGTTATCCTTTGGACTCTCATGCTTTGTTTAAGTATGTTTACTGTGTGTTCAGGTTCTTTGCAGTTGCTAGCGCGCAGTAAAACTTTTACCAATCTGAATTGAAACTGTTCAGGTTTTGTTTCCCTTGTGTAGTTTGACTCTGGGGCCCAGAAGAGGGGCAAGGGGGAGGGGGAGGGGAAGGGGGCAGAATGTGGAGATGAAAGCAGACAACAGAACATGGTTACAGAGCAGGAAAGGAGGTGAAAGGAGACAATTTTCCGTCGCTGTCTGGATTCGAACCCAGGACCTATTGAATGAGAGGCAAACATTGTCCCCTCTAGACCATGAGAGCCCCCTTTACACTTTTTGCACAGGTGCGAGTATGCAAGAGGCAATTTTTGCTTGCTCTTCTCTCTTCTCTCTTCTGCTCCGAGTAATGTCTTTCTTTACTGCCTGGCGACAAGTAGAAAGTTTCGTAGCGTGCGTAGGTGTGATTTCAATACACCCTTGTGTCAAGTAGGATCCTTATGAACGTTATTTTTACCTTGGCGAAGCCATATGTGCATCACGTAGCATTCAGTTGAGGTATAATGTTACTGATTTTAGTGATAGCGAGACAGTAAAACAAAATGAATCGAACCCGTCAGGGGGGGTCATTGTGAGGTCATATTGGTGTGTTTGGAGGGGTACGAGACTGCATACCAGTTGTGAAGCTTTAAACTTTAAAACCTTTTTTTTTTGGTGTAAAAACACTGCTTTGAAGATGTTGCTGATTCCTTCATTCTTGGTTTTGTGTGGTCTGATGGCAGGGGGACTTCGTGCATTCATGCTGGTAGCGAACTTTGGATAGGTGCTGCCTGTGATTTCTCTTTTTCTGGAGAAAAATTTCATTTGGTTGTTTAGTTCCTGTATCATCCAGAAGCAGAAGTGGAGCTTTTAATTGTTCAAAATGTGGCAAATTTTTCTCTGCCAAACTTGGTCTCACTGGCCACAGCAGAAGCCACAAGTCATTGTAATTTTAAAATCTTCAAACTCTTCTATTTCGCTGGAGAAATAGTCTCCTCTGCAGATGTATTGGGCAAATTGATGAATGAGCTATCATCATCATATCATCATCATCACACACACGCACACACTCACGCACACATGCACAAACACACATACACATACATATATGCATACACACAAACTCACTCTCAGTCACTCACTCATACTTTCATACAACACAAACACCTCGTGCCTCAGGCAAGCATATTGTCGAGGGCAATACAACCACAGACATTTGTGTTCGTCACTCTTGAACATAGCACTTTTGCTTAGTCTCTTCCAAGTACCAATATGTGTCACTAAACGTACTCACCCGAACACATGAATGCTTACATGCAGGCCCATTAATGACCTAGTTACTCTCATAAAGATTTGTTTCCATTCTCAGGTGAATGACCATCTCATGGCTGGTGTAGAGGATATCATCGGAGACCATGGGCGATACCATCTCAGGGTATGTACAGTACACTTTATATTCCAGCTGACCAGTAAAAAAGTTTGTAGTTCAAAGAAATGTTTAGAGTAATTTCCTTGTTTATGACTCAATTGACATCAAAATTGTCTGAAAGCTAGAACATATTTTCGGATTATGTTTTTTGAAAAAATTGAATGCTCTTGCTGAACAGAAAGATGATAGAACAGATCACCCGTATGCAACGTGCTTTTTCAGTTTAAATGTATCAGCAAACAAAATCTCCCAAATCTCCCTGTGCATTTTTTGCTCGGGAATACGGGATAGATATCTGTAACAAACACAATGTTCCAAGCAAAAGGTCAATTTTGTAATAGGCTACTAATTTTGAAAGATATTGGTCCATAGAAAATAAGAACTTGAATTGTAAGCCCCTAGTAACACATGGCAGGTAGGCAGCGTGTAAGAATAACGCACTCTTGAAAAGGTTAAGGTGGTCTGTGATTCTGTGAACTCTAACCGATACCTTATTATCTTGTCTTTGGACCATAATTTGTTGATGATGAAGGGAGAAAGAACCGCCACTTTCAGCAAGGTAGAGCTGCTTCTCATGACGCCAGAGCTGTTCTGTTCTGGGATGGGTCCACAACCATGTTACAGAACAGACAGACTGACCGAGTGCTACTGGACCTGAAACGAACCGGGCCTGAGTCGTCTGGACTTTCAATATTGGGGGGTGGGGGGTGTTTGAAGGACAAGATGTGTGGGAAAAACCTTTGAAGGTATCTCCCCTCCTTCTTTTTTAAGTTTGTTGCTCTGTTGTAACTCCTATAATCTTCAGGCGCTCATATGACTTTTTGCAGTTGCGAGCGCCGTTAAAGCTCTACTAAAACAAAAGAACCCCTTTAATATTCGTGATTGCGAAAGAACTCTTGCTAAACTTAAAACCTCATGCATGTTGCTGGAATGTAATATTGTCTTGATGGAAATGTGGCTATATCTGTACTTCAAGAAAAAATCCTTTTTGGGCTAGACACTGTTTTTGGGGTCAGGTTTGGGGTCAGACAGTGTTTTGGGGATTTTTAAGAGAAAATTACGTGCTGAATTAAATGGAAGTACTCTCAAAGTCCTTTTTTAAAGGACGGTCCACAAAGTTTATATCATTATACAATACTTAAAAGCAATTTTGTGGTGTTTTCGCTCGTTTTCTCAAACATGTTTATTTCATGACTTTATGGCCTATAAACTAAAAAAACCACTCATGATAAAGCCATGAAATTGGGGTGGTGAGTGCACCATGCCATTTCAGATACAGACGCATAAGCCTGTTCTTGTATTTGAAAAAGAAAAATATTTAAAACTGTTATTTATTTTTTATTTTGTTATTTTGACTATTTTAATCATTTATTGTTAATATGATATGAAGTCACCTAAAAGTAATAAAATTATTAATTTGTGCATTTCCAAATAACAGTAGCGTCAGTTTGTTAAGACTTACATTTTTATGAATGAAAAATATATGAATAAATGAACGAAATATATAAGTGAATAATAGATACAATATGTGAATGAAAGAAATATAATATATTATATGGAGAGATAAATAAAGGAGGTAACACAGGAGAATTAACTAGTAATGC